GCCTTCCAGCGACGGCGCCCGCCCCCATTTAGCGTGTAAGCTGTGGAGTCTCGGGACTACGGATTCGTGTATCGAGGGTTCGCATTCCGGAAGCGCCGCGTAGTTTTTTAACTGGATTTTGTAGTGAAAATCATCTTAGATATTTGTGTTATAAATGATTTACAATTGTTCTAACGTATTCAGCAGCCTGTCGCCTTCTCACAAGCTGTTTTCCAAGAAGGTTAAGAAGAAATGTCGCAAACTGCCTACCTTAGGTGCTACCATATTATGATTTACTAGTTCCGACCTACATAGCAGCTTTTCCAGTTATACTAGAAAAGCGGAACGGCCAGGGGAAGGGGTACGGAGGAGAAGGAGCAACCCTGTGAAGGGGTGGAAAACCGCTGGAGGGGAGACTGAATAAAAATGAACATTAAATTGAAATCCTATCAAAGTTCGTCCTGCCTATTATTCAATAGACCCTGGGCAGAACTTTACTGAGCAGGGCCTTCTGGCACACAAATACCTAGAGAGGCGGAATCGGTGCTGTTCTCGTGGTTGAAAAGTCAACGGTTGTGGATTCCATTGCAGTCCCTAACACAAACCAGGAGCTGCTCCATAGAGTTCCTAGGTATGATTGTCACAAGGTACTTTTTTAATGGGTGATCGATGCAAGAAAATGTTGGCAAAACACAATCTACCTAAACAGGTGCAGATTTCGGTATAAGAGGCTCAAAAATCTAGGAATTACCCACACCGTCTAACACAGTAGCCAAACGAGCATAGAGGAACGAAAACAATTCCATTAGGAGTGTGCCCAACCGGGCGCCGGCGGGCCGGCCCCGGCCTGCCGGCGGATCCCCTCCCCCTCCCCCCGTCCCGCGCCGTCAGTCGCGGCCCACCTCAGCCCGCCGGCCGCCAACGCATAGGGCTTCCGTAATCCGTACGTCAGTCTCACGGAACCACCCCTCGCCTCCCCTCCCCGTCCCCAGCCCGAGTTACCCCCTCCCGCCTCCCCAGCCTCAGCTACCCCCTCCCGCCTCCCCAGCCTCAGCTACCCCTCCCCAGCCTCAGCTACCCCGTCCCCAGCCCGAGTTATCCCTCCACATCCTAAGCTACCCCTCTCGCCTCCCCAGCCTCAGTTACCCCCTCCACATCCTAAGCTACCCCTCACGCCTCCCTAGCTCAGCTACCCCTCCCCAGCCTCAGCTACCCCTCCCCAGCCTCAGCTACCCCTCCCCTACCTCAGTTACCCTCTCCACGTCCTCAGTTACCCCCTCCACGTCCTCAGTTACCCTCTCCAGCCTCAGTTACCCCTCCCCAGCCTCAGCTACCCCTCCCCAGCCTCAATTACATCCTACCACCCTTAGGAGACCCCTCTCCAGCCTCAGATACCCCTAAGCAGGCTGATTCGCCCCATCCACAGCGCGCCAGCTGCACGTGTCTGAGGCCCGGGAGCCCGCCGGCCGGCCCGCCCGTCCGGTCACTGACCTGCATAATATCGGTGAAGGCCACCATGTTGTGGCTGTACTCGGCGATCTGCGACATCAGAGTCGACGACGGACCCCACGGGTCGTTGGACGTCGCTTCGCGCACCTTCACCTGCCAACACCGGCAGTGCGTCAGCGACCACGGCACCGGCAGTCAGCAGTCGGCACCGGCAGTCAGTCAGCAGTCAGCACCGGCAGTCAGTCAGTACCGGCAGTCAGTCAGCGACCACGGCACCGGCAGCCAGTCAGCAGTCAGCACCGGCAGTCAGTCAGCTCCGGCAGTCAGTCAGCACCGGCAGTCAGTCAACACCGGCAGTGCGTCAGCGACCACGGCACCGGCAGCCAGTCAGCAGTCAGCACCGGCAGTCAGTCAGCACCGGCAGTCAGTCAGCACCGGCAGTCAGTCAGCACCGGCAGTCAGTCAGCACCGGCAGTCAGTCAGCACCGGCAGTCAGTCAGCGACCACGGCACCGGCAGTCAGTCAGCACCCGCAGTCAGTCAGCAGTCAGCACCGGCAGCCAGTCAGCACCGGCAGTCAGTCAGCGACCACGGCACCGGCAGTCAGTCAGCACCCGCAGTCAGTCAGCAGTCAGCACCGGCAGCCAGTCAGCAGTCAGCACCGGCAGTCAGTCAGCGACCACGGCACCGTGGACGCTGACCGGTTGCCGGTGCTGTGCACGAAACAAATCTGAATATCCCGGAAGCCTGATATGGGTGACCTAAGGCCACGTCAATTTTGCGACCTCTCCGCTGTAAGTTAATGGGATAAAATTGAACTGAGGCCAGTTTTACCTACAGAAAAATTGCCAGCTTCGGATATATTTCGCCAAAATGTACCCTAAAATTTCGCCAACCACGCAAAAGAAATGGCCAGTAATGTGAAAATAATGTAAGCCAGCATGACTAAAATATTTTCACATCATCAGTTATTTTTGGGCGAGGTTGGATTAAATTGTGGGAGACTAGTTAATATTCAAATTACCTGCAGTCGGCGACTTTTTTGTTGGTGTAAATGGCCTCAGCTCTTCTTTTGAACGAAAGTCGTACTAAGCACTCAAACATCTGTATAACGGTAAACATGACGCACTGAATCGGAAAACTGCACCCGTGGCCCCTTTTTATTCCCCTGAGGTCATCTCAGGTCATGAAAGGTCTCCAGGAGTTAGTGACAACTTTTGATGGACACATTATAGCTAAAGCGATGCATGGTGCATCATAGAGCGGTCTATTGGCTGTGGGATTTCCGGTGCCGGCCGGTTGCGGAGCGTGGCGGCAGCGGGTCTGGTCAGTCAGCAGTCAGTGGTCTGGCGGCAGCGGGTCCGGTCAGTCAGCAGTCAGTGGTCTGGTCAGTCAGCAGTCAGTGGTCTGGCGGCAGCGGGTCTCGTCAGTCAGCAGTCAGTGGTCTGGCGGCAGCGGGTCTGGTCAGTCAGCAGTCAGTGGTCTGGCGGCAGCGGGTCTGGTCAGTCAGCGTCAGTGGTCTGGCGGCAGCGGGTCTCGTCAGTCAGCAGTCAGTGGTCTGGCGGCAGCGGGTCTCGTCAGTCAGCAGTCAGTGGTCTGGCGGCAGCGGGTCTGGTCAGTCAGCAGTCAGTGGTCTGGCGGCGGCGGGTCTGGTCAGTCAGCAGTCAGTGGTCTGGCGGCGGCGGGTCTGGTCAGTCAGCAGTCAGTGGTCTGGCGGCGGCGGGTCTGGTCAGTCAGCAGTCAGTGGTCTGGCGGCGGCGGGTCTGGTCAGTCAGCAGTCAGTGGTCTGGCGGCAGCGGGTCTGGTCAGTCAGCAGTCAGTGGTCTGGCGGCGGCGGGTCTGGTCAGTCAGCAGTCAGTGGTCTGGCGGCAGCGGGTCTGGTCAGTCAGCAGTCAGTGGTCTGGCGGCGGCGGGTCTCGTCAGTCAGCAGTCAGTGGTCTGGCGGCAGCGGGTCTGGTCAGTCAGCAGTCAGTGGTCTGGCGGCAGCGGGTCTGGTCAGTCAGCAGTCAGTGGTCTGGCGGCGGCGGGTCTGGTCAGTCAGCAGTCAGTGGTCTGGCGGCAGCGGGTCTGGTCAGTCAGCAGTCAGTGGTCTGGCGGCGGCGGGTCTGGTCAGTCAGCAGTCAGTGGTCTGGCGGCAGCGGGTCCGGTCAGTCAGCAGTCAGTGGTCTGGTCAGTCAGCAGTCAGTGGTCTGGCGGCAGCGGGTCTCGTCAGTCAGCAGTCAGTGGTCTGGCGGCAGCGGGTCTGGTCAGTCAGCAGTCAGTGGTCTGGCGGCGGCGGGTCTGGTCAGTCAGCAGTCAGTGGTCTGGCGGCAGCGGGTCTGGTCAGTCAGCAGTCAGTGGTCTGGCGGCAGCGGGTCTCGTCAGTCAGCAGTCAGTGGTCTGGCGGCGGCGGGTCTGGTCAGTCAGCAGTCAGTGGTCTGGCGGCAGCGGGTCTGGTCAGTCAGCAGTCAGTGGTCTGGCGGCAGCGGGTCTGGTCAGTCAGCAGTCAGTGGTCTGGCGGCAGCGGGTCTCGTCAGTCAGCAGTCAGTGGTCTGGCGGCGGCGGGTCTGGTCAGTCAGCAGTCAGTGGTCTGGCGGCAGCGGGTCTGGTCAGTCAGCAGTCAGTGGTCTGGCGGCAGCGGGTCTGGTCAGTCAGCAGTCAGTGGTCTGGCGGCGGCGGGTCTGGTCAGTCAGCAGTCAGTGGTCTGGCGGCAGCGGGTCTGGTCAGTCAGCAGTCAGTGGTCTGGCGGCAGCGGGTCTCGTCAGTCAGCAGTCAGTGGTCTGGCGGCGGCGGGTCTGGTCAGTCAGCAGTCAGTGGTCTGGCGGCAGCGGGTCTGGTCAGTCAGCAGTCAGTGGTCTGGCGGCGGCGGGTCTGGTCAGTCAGCAGTCAGTGGTCTGGCGGCAGCGGGTCTGGTCAGTCAGCAGTCAGTGGTCTGGCGGCAGCGGGTCTGGTCAGTCAGCAGTCAGTGGTCTGGCGGCAGCGGGTCTGGTCAGTCAGCAGTCAGTGGTCTGGCGGCGGCGGGTCTGGTCAGTCAGCAGTCAGTGGTCTGGCGGCGGCGGGTCTGGTCAGTCAGCAGTCAGTGGTCTGGCGGCAGCGGGTCTGGTCAGTCAGCAGTCAGTGGTCTGGCGGCAGCGGGTCTGGTCAGTCAGCAGTCAGTGGTCTGGCGGCGGCGGGTCTGGTCAGTCAGCAGTCAGTGGTCTGGCGGCGGCGGGTCTGGTCAGTCAGCAGTCAGTGGTCTGGCGGCAGCGGGTCTGGTCAGTCAGCAGTCAGTGGTCTGGCGGCAGCGGGTCTGGTCAGTCAGCAGTCAGTGGTCTGGCGGCAGCGGGTCTGGTCAGTCAGCAGTCAGTGGTCTGGCGGCAGCGGGTCTGGTCAGTCAGCAGTCAGTGGTCTGGCGGCGGCGGGTCTGGTCAGTCAGCAGTCAGTGGTCTGGCGGCGGCGGGTCCGGTGGTGAGCGGCTGCTCCCGGCGCGCGCCCCGGTGGCTGCCGCACGTCACTCCGTACCTGGGCGTCCGTGTAGTTGTGGACCACATTGCGGACGTTCCTCCGCACCTGCCGCACGCCGGCGTTCATGCTGAGCAGTCTCCGGGGGCCAGCTCACCGCGCACCTGAAACACCAGCTCGGACTCAGGGACACCGCCAGTGTCGGGCTCGGACTCAGGGACGCCGCCAGTGTCGGGCTCGGGGACACCGCCAGTGTCGGGCTCGGACTCAGGGACGCCGCCAGTGTCGGGCTCGGGGACACCGCCAGTGTCGGGCTCGGGGACACCGCCAGTGTCGGGCTCGGGGACGCCGCCAGTGTCGGGCTCGGGGACACCGCCAGTGTCGGGCTCGGGGACACCGCCAGTGTCGGGCTCGGAGACGCCGCCAGTGTCGGGCTCGGGGACACCGCCAGTGTCGGGCTTGGGGACACCGCCAGTGTCGGGCTCGGGGACGCCGCCAGTGTCGGGCTCGGACTCAGGGACACCGCCAGTGTCGGGCTCGGGGACGCCGCCAGTGTCGGGCTCGGACTCAGGGACGCCGCCAGTGTCGGACTCAGGGACACCGCCAGTGTCGGGCTCGGGGACACCGCCAGTGTCGTGCTCGGGGGCACCGCCAGTGTCGGGCTCGGGGACGCCGCCAGTGTCGGGCTCGGGGACGCCGCCAGTGTCGGGCTCGGACTCAGGGACACCGCCAGTGTCGGGCTCGGGGACGCCGCCAGTGTCGGGCTCGGGGACGCCGCCAGTGTCGGGCTCGGACTCAGGGACGCCGCCAGTGTCGGGCTCGGGGACACCGCCAGTGTCGGGCTCGGGGACACCGCCAGTGTCGGGCTCGGGGACGCCGCCAGTGTCGGGCTCGGACTCAGGGACACCGCCAGTGTCGGGCTCGGGGACACCGCCAGTGTCGGGCTCGGGGACACCGCCAGTGTCGGGCTCGGGGACACCGCCAGTGTCGGGCTCGGGCTCGGGGACACCGCCAGTGTCGGGCTCGGGCTCGGGGACACCGCCAGTGTCGGGCTCGGGCTCGGGGACACCGCCAGTGTCGGGCTCGGGCTCGGGGACACCGCCAATGTCGGGCTCGGGGACACCGCCAGTGTCGGGCTCGGGGACACCGCCAGTGTCGGGCTCGGGGACACCGCCAGTGTCGGGCTCGGGGAAACCGCCAGTGTCGGGCTCGGGGACACCGCCAGTGTCGGGCTCGGACTCAGGGACGCCGCCAGTGTCGGGCTCGGGGACACCGCCAGTGTCGGGCTCAGGGACACCGCCAGTGTCGGACTCGGGGATGCCGCCAGTGTCGGGATCGGGGACACCGCCAGTGTCGGGCTCGGGGACGCCGCCAGTGTCGGGCTCGGGGACACCGCCAGTGTCGGGCTCGGGCTCGGGGACACCGCCAGTGTCGGGCTCGGGCTCGGGGACACCGCCAGTGTCGGGCTCGGGGACACCGCCAATGTCGGGCTCGGGGACACCGCCAGTGTCGGGCTCGGGGACACCGCCAGTGTCGGGCTCGGGGACACCGCCAGTGTCGGGCTCGGACTCAGGGACGCCGCCAGTGTCGGGCTCGGGGAAACCGCCAGTGTCGGGATCGGGGAAACCGCCAGTGTCGGGGTCAGGGACACCGCCAGTGTCGGGCTCAGGGACGCCGCCAGTGTCGGGCTCGGGGACACCGCCAGTGTCGGGCTCGGGGACGCCGCCAGTGTCGGGCTCAGGGACACCGCACAGCTCCAAGGCATGGACTACAGCTGGTCAATGCAGCAGGTCTAAAAGGAATCAGGTGATTGGCACCAGAAATGCCAAAAATAAAGTAAACCTGTATATATACATAAACAGGATCATATAATCAGTTGGATGCCCCTTCCATGATTTTCTATTCAACAGCTGAGCGTAGGATCTCTCATGGGTACCCTCTGAAACTGACAAAAAGTAATAAATACCAGTAACTTACTAGAAATGGCATATAATATAATGTTGAATGGACTTTTAACTTCTATGAGAGATAGACATTAACAGCAGAAGATTAAAACAAAGGTTTTGCACCCAGATGTGTCAGGGAGCTGGGAGCCAGAGCCAGATAATATCAAACTGCTTTGGCTTTATTCCTGAGCATTTACTATTGGCATAATTTCATTCCACAAATTCACACTGCTCCAGTCATATTGCAGGATTCTAGTAGTAATTTGACAAAGACCATGTGTGTCCTTCAACATGTGTGTCCTTCTCTGACCATGTGTGTCCTTCTGTGTCCTTCTGTGACCATGTGTCTCCTTACGTGTCCTTAAACACGAAATATGTAGGTATGATGTAATACTAGGTATTCCATGATGCATGCACAGTAGGCATCAGTAGGCAGAGCAGGGCAGAGAGCTTCCAACATATAACATCTTGGCAGAATATTTTGATGCAGAATGGCATGACAGCTTTTCGTGAGTCTGCTTATTTTGCTTCTCAATGTGGAGCACCAAGCGATTGAGTTGTGGCGTGTTTCTTCCTTGCAGGGATGTAATTAGGTAGGTGATTGCCGTGTTTTGCTGCTCTGCAGAATATTTTGCCAGTGTTTACTGTTTCACAAAATATTTTGCCAAACCAGGTTTGCGACGTAACTAGAGGGGTGATGTCACACTGGGAGGATTTTCTGACGGTGTGAAACAGAGCCCTTACATCAGCAGCCTCATTCAAAGCCGGACTAGAAAAAAAAAGCAAACAGCTATGATGACATTAAAATTAGTGAGTAGTCATCATGGGGTGTTGCTAGCAGTAAGACTTCTCAGCTCTTGATAGGTCTGTTCTCATGGCTACTACAACCATCTCCAACATGCGACCAACTGGACATTGGGCGCACGAGCTTCTTTAACTTTTTAGGGACCACTACCTCACTCAACACGTGCTGTCCCCAACGAGATACCGCCCCGGACAGACGCCGCACGTCCTGGACCTCGTGCTGACCAACGAGGAAGGCATGGTCCTCGACCTCCGCAGCCAGCCGCCACTCGGCAGTAGCGACCACGTTGTCCTGCCGTTCACCCTGCGGTGTTACGCTGAAGACGAGCAAGTGGCAACACTGAAACCGGCCCTCCACCACGGCGACTATGTGGCGATGTTCCAAATGGCGCGAGAGGCGACCTGGCCTGTCTCTGATGGCTGCACTGTTGACCAACACTACCGAGCGTTTCAAGAAATCCTGGACAGCTTCTGCGAGCGCGGCATCCCTTTTGTGGAAGAGATACCTACTTATCCAAGATACCCTGGACTACTGCCGATTCTCTCGAACCAGGAACCAGTTGAAGGGACTGGTTAGACGACGTCGCAGGAATTTTGAGCGACAACTGGTGGAGAACCTGCCGGAAAACCCGAAGGCATTTTGGCGTTATGTGCACTCCCGCCTGACCACCAGAACAAGAGTGGACGACCTCGTCACTGGGAATGGGGATATGGCGTGCACGGACGCAGCTAAAGCCAGGGCTCTGGCGGAAGCTTACAGCAGTGTGTACTGCTGGGATGAAGACCCGGCTGACGTTCCAGCTATGAATCCCCAGTATGGAGGTCCAACGCTGGAGGAGCTGCGGGTGACGCCGGAGCAAGTGGAGGGTAAACTCCGCGACCTACGCCCGGCAGCATCACCAGGCCCTGACGCGGTCCATCCCAAGGTATTGCGCGAGCTGGCTGCCCCCCTGTGTGGTCCATTGGCAGACCTCTTCAACCACTCCTTGGCAGACAGAAGAGTCCCAAGAGATTGGAAGCTAGGCCAAGTTGTCCCCATTTATAAAAAGGGACCTCGCAGCGATCCTTCCAATTACCGTCCTGTCAGCCTGACGTCCGTGACGGCGAAAAAGTTGGAGTCGCTCGTGCGTGACGCCCTGTTCGAGCACATGACAGTGACAGGCCAGCTAAGTGAATGCCAGCACGGCTTCCGCCCGGGGCGCTCCTGCGCAACGCAGCTTCTCAGCACACTCGAGGAGTGGACTTGGCTGATGGAGGAGGGCGAGCCGGTTGACGTCGCCTACTTGGACTTCCGAAGCGCCTTCGATTCGGTGCCTCACCTGCGTCTTCTGCAGAAGCTCCACGACATGGACATTAGGGGACCCCTCCTCCAGTGGCTTCGCTCATTCATGACAGAGAGGAAGCAAAGGGTCACTGTCAACGGCAGCTTCTCGGACTGGGCCGCAGTCGGCAGCGGTATCCCGCAGGGCACAGTTCTGGGACCAGTGCTCTTCATCGCTTTTGTCAACGACCTACCTGGCTGCGTTGAGAGCGCATGCAAGCTCTTCACTGATGATACGAAGGTGTACGTCGGAGCGGGCACCGAGATCGGTCGTAAAAGGTTCCAGCAGGATTTGGACGCCCCGGCGGCCTGGTCTCGGAAGTGGAGGCTGCCGTTCAACCCATCCAAAAGGCAAAAGGCAAAAGGCAAAAGGCTCCAGCAGGATTTGGACGCCCCGGCGGCCTGGTCTCGGAAGTGGAAGCTGCCGTTCAACCCATCCAAGTGCACAGTGCTTCACCTGGGCAGCCAAAACGTGCGAGCGGAGTACACGATCGAAGGTGCTGCATTGAAGACTGTTGACACGGAAAGAGACTTGGGAGTCCAGATGGACAGACTGCTTAAATTCAGGGAGCATGCGGTGACCGCCATTGGCAAGGCCAACATAATCCTCGGCCTGATCAAGCACAGCTTCGTCCACATCGACTCCAAGACACTTTCTCTGCTGTACAAGACGATGGCTCACCCGCACCTAGCCCGTACCCCGCTGGGCTATTCAGCCATACGCGCCCCGCTGGGGGAGGGGGGGGGCAGATTCTGCCTCCCAGTCTAACTTCCGAACCGATGGTCGCAGAAAGACGGGGAAAACGGCAATCGAAAGCTCTCAACAAGGCGGATCTTAAGAGCCCAATTTGTTTTGCTTAAGTAGGTCAGAGGTCAGGTCAAGGTCAGGTCAAGGGTACAAAATGCAAGTTTCTACAGCATCGGCCTAGCACCGTAGTTGCCGAAGAATGGACGGAGACTGATTGCCCAAAACGTGTTCTTAGGCTACCAAGACAATATTCGTTGCATAAAATATCATTTAAAGGTCAAGGTCAACGTCAGGTCAGGTCAGGTCACCAAAACAAAATATAGAAAAGGGCATGTGCGACACATGTTTCATGGGTCATTATATTCATAGAATTCAATAGGCACACTCAATAAGTGATATGGACCACATCTGGATGAATTTCAGGTCGAGGTCAGGTCAAGGTCAGGTCAAGTGAGGTCAAATTTTGAAGTTGGTTGTTAACCCGGCAGGTGGTGGGCCTCCCGGCCACCTTCCGCGCGAGGGGGGGGCATTTTTTGCCCCCCCCCCCGTATCTCCGAAACTACTGGACGGATCCGCAAAATTCAAACGGCGTTCGATAGCCCTGTCAAATTTGTCGATGGAAACCAAATTTCATTGACCTCGGGGTCACCGATGACGTCACAAGTCAGGTCAAAGATAAAATGTGTCAACGTTCACGGGTCTTCTAGGGAAAGCACTATAACACCGAGTAAAACGCATTTTGTCGAAAATCAGCGATAGGGTGTCAGTTGTCTAGTACATATGTTGCTATTAGAGGTCACCGGTCATACCAGGTCAGGTCACAGGTCAGGTCACCAAGGGTCACCAAGGGTCACCACATGAACCCAACTTTACTAAGGTTGTGCGATGCATGTTTTACGGCAAATTTTTAATTTCCAACTGAATGGTGTTGGTTATAAGATCATCAGGTACGGTTTAGGTCACTTTCTGGTGGAAGTCAGGTCAAGGTCAGGTAAAAAATGTCAAATTTCAAAGTTGCTAGTTTTGCATAAAATGGGTATTGATTCGATGCAGCTCGTTACGGGGAGTCTAACTGTGGTCTTTGTTTTGCGCCACGAGGTCTAAAATTGCCAAAAATTGAGTTTGAAAATTTGACGTAATCAATTTTGAACAGTTTTTTCGCTATAACTTAGCGAAAAAAAGAGGTATCGATCTCAAATTTGGTACGTAGATAGAAGGCGGTAGGGACTATCACATATATTCCGTTTTTTTTCGAAATTTAAAAAAACTATGGATTTTCGGCTATCATATTCAAAAAATCTATTTTTTATTTTTGGGGGTCAAAATCCAAAATTTTCAAAAATCCGAGATAGCAGTTTTGTAGCCCTTTTGATTCCACACCTTTTATGTCGAAACATTTTTCTGTATCTCTAAAGCTGTAGGCCTGACAGCTCTTCCCGCGAAACCTTTTTTGGGTCGAAAATGGCAAAAATGACGTCACTCTGACGTCATTAGCGGCCAACCTATCAAAGCTTTTGGAAAAAAAATTTGGTCACCATGTGCGCTAGCTGCTCCCGGGAGGGTACTGAGAGTTTGGTGACGATCGGCGCAGGGTTAAGGGCGAAAGCGTGGGTGGGATGACGAGGTCGAAGATGACGCTCTCCGGGATCAGATGCAGGATGTTTCGACGCGGATTGCGGAATGCGATCCGGTCCGTGGGCTGTGGTGTGTGAACGGCCATGCTGCAGTCGTGTGGGTAGACGCGAGCTCTCTGGCGGAAGGAGTGGTGATCACGACACCAGAGGGCTGCGCGATCGAGGACGCCAGTTGGTTGCGACGAGACGAGAGCTCGCACATTAACCTCTCGGAGCTAGATGCCGCAGTCCGAGGTTTAAACCTTGCCGTGGCATGGGGGATGAAGGACGTCGAGCTACGCACGGACTCTGTGAGTGTTCACCGATGGCTCAGTGACGCACTGACCGGGCACGCGCGGCTCCGCACGAAGGCGCAGAGTGAGCTGCTGATCCGGCGGAGGGTCGGCATCGTCAGGCAGCTTGTTGAGGAGCTGTCCCTCAGTGTCTCTGTGACGCTGGTGCGTTCCTGCGAGAATCGTGCCGATGCGCTGACACGTGTGCCGGGAGAGTGGCTCCGTGCTGATCATCGCACAACTGTGGCTGCTGCCGTGGTCGTGCCGGCTGGAGAGACTCTATCAGCTGCAATCAGGGACGTTCACGAGAGAGCTGGTCATCCTGGCGTCCGCAAGACACTGTATTTTGCGCGCCGAGATGTGACGAGGAGCGTCAGGCGTGCCGACGTGCAGCTGGTGGTGTCCCGGTGTGACATCTGTCAGTCCATTGATCCGGCGCCCGTTCAGCTACCACATGGGTCTCTCGAGGTGAGCGGGCTGTGGGAGCGCTTGGCGATCGACATCACGCACTATCAGTCTCAATCGTACCCGTCACTTATCGATTGTGGTCCATCGAGGTTTTGTCTATGGGGCCTGCTGCGCCGTCCAGACGCTGAAGCTGTGACCGAGTTCCTGAACAGAGTTTTCTGTGAACGCGGTGCGCCGCGTGAAATACTCTGCGACAACGACACAGTTTTCCGCGGGCATCGGTTCGCGGCGTTTGCGGCAAAATGGGGCATTGCGCTGCGATTCAGAGCAGCGTATGCTCCAGCTGGTAATAGCATCATCGAGCGTAACCACCGCACGGTAAAGGTGATTGCTGCTAGGAAGAGGTGTTCCATTGAGGAGGCAGTGCACATCTACAATATCACGCCACGGGACGGAGAGAATGAAGAGGAGTCACCTGCAAGTGGCGTCTACCGATACCGTGTGCGAGATTGTGTGCAACACGGTGACCGCTCGCTCGAAGGTGCAGCGGAGGATGTGCACCAGCCTGTGAGAGGCCTGGTGGCCGGCGAGCCGGTGTGGGTCCGCCAGCAGGGCTCTCGATGCACAGACAGGTCACGGCCGGGCGTCGTAACCGCCGTGCTGTCACCATGGGTGGTAGAAGTGGACGGGGTACCCCGTCACGTCAAAGATCTGCGGCGGCGGCAGGGAGTCTCTCCGCACCGTGATGGAGCGGCTGCGCAGCGAGGCGTGACGCGGTGCTCCGCCGGGCCCGCGGTTGATGATCCGCCGTTGCTCATCACTACGAGCGTCGCGGCCCCCGACTCGGCGGCCATCGT